GCTCCGCGTGGTTTGGGAAAGTAAATTAGAAGTATTTAGTATTTTATTTTATGTGCTTCAGGGTTTGTACGTGATATGAAGTTTGTACGTGCTTTGTCTGTAGGGGCCACCGTAAACATACTTTTATTTATTCACTCCACATAAAATGTGATAAATAAATCATATAATACAAAAATCAATTATTCACATTTCAACTTTTAACTATTTAAATTTTCAGCTTAAGTGAAACAACACAAAACACTGCAAACCACAACACAATTAAATATAAATTAAAATATGAAAACAAAAAGAAGATGCATGTTCTCTGTCATATGGACCTGCATGAATAAACTTTCTGTATCCTTTATCATCTGCAACTGAAAATAGTTGTGGATGATTACTATACCTTTCTAATGTGAGGTTGTTGTCCCTGGCTCTCTTTCTCTCTCTCTCCCTCCCGCTCTGTTCCTGTGCTACTCAGTGTAACTACCGCCCCTCCCCCCTCTTCCCAGCGTAAAGCACAAGGCTGGCATGCTGAGTGAAGTGAAAAAAAGTGCGAGAGAGAGGGTGAGAGAAAGAAAAAAAACCAACCCACGGCTCGCGATAAGGAGCCGGCTCGCATCGTTCACGTCAAAGAGCCGGCTCTAAGAGCCATTTTGTTCGCGACCGACCCATCACTACCCGACACACACCAACCCAACAGCATAGATAGCGCAGACATAAAGGCGGTGATGCGTGATCGGATTGCAGGTGCCGCTCAAGTGAGTCCGCCTCCCCTGCAGCGGCGCTGCAGACCTCCCCCGCCACACACATTAACCAGGTAAAATACATATTTAGACAGAATTTTGCAAATGTCTATTTTTCATTTTTTAGTGAAGTTTAGTTTTTTAGTGCTTTTTTTCCCAATTATTTTTAAAAGTCAGGTCAAGGCTCCAAAAGCCCGAAGGCGATATAACAGTTTTTGTTTGCTACATGGATCATTTTAATTCATGTTGGTGTCTTTCCTTTCGTTATATTTCTTAAAGAGTTCAAAATGTGTTAATTACATAAATAAAATGTTAATTTT